TTCCTGACTGCACAGTGAAATCATTTATTTTTATCTACATAATTATACCAACTCATCTTCATCAAATTAAAAGCAAAGGTTATGTAAGGATTGACTGGGACCTGGGTAGCATGATCCCCTTGAACTAACTCAAGGTGCGCTGTGACCAGTGGGGTCCCTCAAGGCTCTGTCCTAGGGCCTATACTATTTAACATCTTCATCAATGATGTGGACATTGGTGTCAGAAGTAGACTGGCCAAGTTTGCCAATGACACCAAACTCTGGGGTAAAGCATCCACACCTGAGGACAGGAGGGTGATCCAGGCAGATCTTGACAGGCTTATGAAATGGGAGGATGAGAACCTGATGGTGTTCAACACTGAAAAATGCAAGGTTCTCCATCTTGGGAGGAAAAACCTGCAGCATGCTTATATGCTCAGTAGTGCTACTCTGGTTAGCACTACAGATAAAAGGGACTTGGGGGTCATGGTTGACCACAAGATGAACATGAGCCTTCAGTGTGATGCTGTGGCTACTAAAGCGAGCAAAACAATTGCTTGCATCTATAGATGCTTCTCAAGCAAATCCTGGGACATCATTCTCCCCTTGTACTCGGCCTTGGTGAGGCCACAGCTGGAGTACTGTGTACAGTTTTGGGCTCCAGAATGCAAAAAGGATGTGGAGAAGCTTGAGAGAGTGCAGAGGAGAGCCATGCACATGATCAGAGGTCAGGAAAACAGACCTTATGATGAGAGGCTGAGAGCCATGGGGCTCTTCAGCCTGGAAAAGCGCAGGCTCAGGTGTGATCTGGTGGCCACCTATAAGTTTATCGGGGTGCTCATCAGGATGGGAGAATGTCTATTCACCAGAGCACCCCAAGAGATGACAAAATCGAACGGTCACAAACTCCACCACAACTGATTCAGACTGAACATAAGAAAGAACTTATTCACTGTCTGACCCCCAAGGTTTGGAATAGACTGCTGCCGGAGGCGGTTCAAGCACCCACTTTGAATGCCTTCAAGACACATTTGGATGCTTATCTTGCTGGGATCCTATGATCCCTGCTGACTTCCTGCCCCTGGGTCAGGGGGCTGGACTCGATGATCCTCCAGGGTCCCTTCCAGCCCAAATGTCTATGAAATCTATGGAAGTCAGAGGTTTACAGAAGTGAAAGCCAAGGCCAAAGCTAAGTGTCAGTCCTGGTCCAGATTAGCAAACTAAATGTTTAGAGAAGGTCATCGTTACAGCCAGCATTTGATCCAGGATGAAAAATCCAAGAAGAGAAAAGGCAGGAGGGGGCCAACCCAGAGGCTCAGAGTACATAGTCAGTATTAGAACTTCCAAGAAGACCAAAGGCACAGTAAGGTAGTCTGTTGCCCAAACAGCCTGCTGCTTGTGCGGGCCGGGAACGATCCGAGGCCCTTTTGTGCACCGCGGGCTGTGGCCAGCAGCCCGGACACGCCGGGTCGGGGAAGGCAGGCGGCGCGCTAGAATTAGGCACGGACGCTTAATGGTTGTTTAAGATTATTTACTTACACCGAAGATGGTCGCGGTGTAGGCTGGCACGTTTCCAGGAATACTTCGCATAAATCCTAGTTTAAGGACTCTGAAAGAACTCTGATTCACTCACACGAAGTTTTCGAGGCTCCGTGGAACTTTTGCGCGCAGGGAAGGGTACGTCGAGGGATTGTTCAGCGACAGGGAGAAGAATCGATAGGTGATCAGTCTGTCACCTGCAGGTGGGCTGTTAGGAAGGCCAAGGCGGATATAGAGCTCGGATTAGCGTCCAGGATTAAGGATAACAAAAAGTCCTTTTTCAAATATATTGGGAGGATGAAGAAGGCGCCGGGTAATGTGGGGCCCCTGCAGGATATGCGGGGCAATCTGGTGGTTGCGTCAGAGGATAAAGCGGACCTCTTTAACCAATTCTTCACCTCCGTTTTCTTGTGCAGGGACCGGGACTTCCCTGCTGTGATAGAAGCCGGATGCGAGGGGATCGCCTTCAGACCTCAGGTTGGGGAGGACCGGGTTAGAGAGCTTCTGGAGGGGCTGGACGCGTTCAAGTCAGCGGGTCCGGATGCTCTCCACCCCAGGGTGCTGAGGGAGCTGGCTGGGGTTATTGCAGGGCCCCTGGCACGGCTCTACGAGCGATCGTGGTGCTTGGGCCAGGTGCCAGACGATTGGAAGGTAGCTAATGTGGTCCCCATCTTCAAAAAAGGGAAAAGGGAGGACCCGGGCAATTATAGGCCCGTCAGTCTTACCTCAATCCTGGGGAAGCTCTTTGAGAAGATCATCAAGGAGCACATTTGTGATGGGCCGGCATCAGAAATGATGCTCAGGGGCAATCAGCATGGATTTATTAGGGGGAGATCATGTCAGACCAACCTGATTGCCTTTTATGATCAGGTCACAAAGGCCATGGACGCAGGTGTCGCGGTGGATGTAGTCTTTCTGGACTTCAGCAAGGCCTTTGACACCGTCTCTCACCCCATCCTAATTAATAAACTAGGCGACTGTGGCATAGATGCCTACACGGTCAGATGGATTGCAGATTGGCTGAAGGGTCGCACTCAGAGGGTGGTGGTGGATGGATCATACTCGACTTGGGGGGAGGTGGGTAGTGGAGTCCCCCAGGGCTCGGTCCTGGGGCCTGCGCTGTTCAATTTCTTCATCAGCGATCTTGATGTTGGGGTGGAAAGCAACCTGTTTAAATTCGCTGATGACACCAAAATTTGGGGGGAGGTGAGCACGCTAGCAGGGAGAGAGAGATTGCAGAAGGATCTGGATAGGTTACAGGGGTGGGCAAACAGGAACAGGATGTGTTTCAATACGGACAAGTGCAGGGTGCTGCACTTGGGTAGTAGGAACCAGCAGCACACTTATACGATGGGGAGCTCCCTACTTGAGAGCACGGAGGCGGAAAGGGATCTTGGTGTCATTATTGACTCCAAGATGAACATGGGCCGACAATGCGAGGTCATGGTTGGCAGGGCTAACCGGACCTTGTCGTGCATCCACAGGTGCATCTCGAGTAGAGCCAGGGAGGTGATCCTCCCCCTCTATGCGACGCTGGTCAGGCCGCAGCTGGAGTATTGTGTCCAGTTCTGTGCGCCCCATTTCAGGAGGGATGTGGACAACATGGAGAGGGTCCAGAGGAGGGCCACCCGCATGATCCGGGGACAACAGGGCAGACCCTACAGTGAGAGACTGCGGGACCTGAACCTATTCAGCCTCCACAAGAGAAGGCTGAGGGGGGACCTGGTGACCGTCTATAAACTCACTAGGGGGAACCAGAAGGGTTTGGGGGAGACGCTGTTTCCCCTAGCCCCCGCTGGCATAACAAGGAGTAATGGGCACAAGTTGATGGAGAGGAGGTACAGATTGGACATCCGAAAAAACTACTTCACAGTTAGGGCGGCTAGGAGCTGGAACCAACTTCCAAGGGAGGTGGTGCTGGCCCCTACCCTGGGGATCTTTAAGAAGAGGCTGGATACCTACCTGGCTGGGTTCATTTGAGTCCCGTTTTTTGTTTAGGGTTCTTTTGTTGTTCTCCCGCCCTGGCAGGGGGTCGGGCTAGAAGAACTATTAGGTCCCTTCCAACCCTAAAACTATGAAAAAAAAAAAATGCTCATTGGCATTAATGCTAGCTTGAGTTTGGAGCAGTTATATGTTAAGACTATACACCGTGATCCAGGAGGATCGACGGTTCCCACAACAGTTTCTAAATGTTAAACTAACCTTTTCTGAATGTCCTTGACCTACTCAACTGTGACTTGCCACTAGAGGGCCAATAG